TTTCATATCCCTTAGGCTTTTTCTTTTATACTTATTAAAAGACTCCACTGTATATATTTTTTAAATAATATATTCCTTTTGAGAACTATCGTTTTCTGTTCAGCTTTTCAGCCCCTTTGTTTCTTCCACTTACAAACCAGCCAACACTTCAAAGAGGAAAGAAAGCAGCTTGGGGTGTCCCACTCACCTCACGGCATTTCTTTTCTCCCTGAAATCTTGGACCCTCAACCCCTGGACTGTCTTAGTAGCTCTTTGTTGCTTTCAAACAGGCGTGTGTGTGTGTGTGTGTGTGTGTGTGTGTGTGTGTGTGTGCGCGCGCACACACACACCTGTACTTATTGTATTTCTAGCTACTGTCAGTGGGAGTAGTTTGACAGACACTGACTTGTCAAGATCTTGTGTGACCATATAATTTATCCTCCAAACAAGGACATTTCTGAGCGTGAAAGGGGGCACTATTAATAACACTGGATCACCAAGCATGCCTTGTGACTGTCTCCGACAACCAGGAGCACATGACCACCCTAATCATAGCCCCCTTTGCACTGCTGTAAATACATACAACAAAAACAGGAAAGATTCCCTATTAAATTTTTTTTTACTGTAGAAACTATCACTTATCGAATAGCAGTTATTTCATAAACTGTACTAAGTGTTTTACATTTGTTTTCTCATTTCAATCCTCACAACAACCCATTTACAAATAAGAAAACAAACTCAGAAAAATGAGGTCACTTGCCCAAGATCATACAGCTCGTCGGTGGTGGAGCAGGGTTTTGTCTGTGGCTGAGAGCCCCTGCTCTTTTAGTGACCCATCTAGGTCAGCTTTGGGCAAAAGGCAACTTCACTGCTCAGCTCAGCAAAGAGCACCTGGGAGTGGAGGTTGCTGGCCACACTCACCGCAGGTCGGGATGCACTGAAGCAGACTCGATGTTGGTTTTTATTCCACTTGGCATTTCCCCTGGTTGACCTGCGTGGGCCCTTTGCACCCCACTGAGCACCGACTGCTGCTGGCTTGGAGCACCTGAGAACATGGATGGGTGTGTGCCTGTTACCAACTTCGTGCTTCCCTGCTCCAAACACACCCTTCTCTGCCCAGCTGTGATCCTGTCAGCCAGTGCCTTGTCAGTCCTAACACCAGGAAGGTGCTAGAGGAACACAGGCTTCTCTTCCTCGTTCCAGAACTTTCTTCTGGTTTCTACAGCACAGCTGCCAGTGGGCGGCTTCCCAATGAGATTTTGCCATCACCCAGCACACAGTTTCCTGCTTGCCAACCGCAGCCTGCAGCACCTCAGCAAACTCCTCTGCCGTCCCGTGGGCCACCGCCACGCCCTCACCAATGAGTGCTGGCGGGGAGGGAGGGCCATTTCCACGTTTATTCCTTCTGTGGGTTTTCTGTGTCATCTCTGGAGGTTGTGGCTGCTCCCTGTGTATGTGCTTTCTGTATTCTTTAGAGTCCTATTTACCCCATTCAGTGGTTAATTTTCGTTGACTAATTAACAATTCTCTATATTGCATGCTCCCTGTTCAAAGGACTGGTGTGGTTTCTGCCTCCTGACTGGATCCTGGCTGATACAGAATGCATTCATTACTTCTTTCACTTCTCATTTGAGAACAAGGTCTTTCAAAGAAAATGGAGAACATAGTGGTCGGTAGGTAAAAATAACACATTATTCACTGTTTGCCATATACTGGGCAATGTTTCAAGAACTTTACACCTTTTTAACTAACTTAATCCTCATGCCAAGCCTATGAAGTAAGTGGCATTTTTATTTCCTTTTACAGATGAGGAAACTGAGGCACAGTGGGGTGACCTAAGTGGGTGGTCGAGCTGGGATTCAAATACAAATTATGTGACTTAAAGGTCCATGCCCTCAACACTAGAGAGTAGAGTGCTCGGTCTGCCATTGACAAGAGAGGGAGAGAGACCTGTGACAGTGCCTGGCATTTAAAACCGTGCCTCTTGGGGGTTACCCTTAAGAGAGGCGCTAATCAGGGCTCACAGGGTGACGGTGGCCAAAGGGTCCTACCTTGAAATATGGGAAAGACAAAGTAGAACTAGGACCACTAGAGAGATGAAAACGGGGACCGGCTATGCTGGGGTTCCCAAATGCCCCAAGCACGCCTACTGAGAAAATGGGGTGGTTCCTCTGTCAGTTATGGCAACAGTTGAACCCAAACCTACTGGACCAGGGACAAGGTAGCAGATCTTAGAGACAAGGCATAGATAATGACGGAGTCTTCCCTTGGAGAGGAGGACGGAAGAGGGAGCCATGGGCCTCAAGGGTTTCAGTAACACACAGGGCTGTCCTTAGGTCAAATTTTGGGGTGAGTAGGAAAGCTCACCCTGTGGGGTTGAAGAAAGACGAGGAACAAGTAAAACAACCTTCGTTCATATCTGTTTAGCCAACAACTGACTGAGTGGCTCTGATTATATTTCTTTATACATCGCAGTTGGTTTAGCCATTCTATTAATGAACA